AGGCTAAGGTGAACAAGTTCTCTCCCTCCTCCTTAGGACACCCTTTTAGATACCTGAAAACTGCTATCATGTCCCCTCTCAGTCTTCTCTTCCCCATCAGCTGTCCCCCTCCATGCCCTGCCCTGTCTGGACAAAGGGGAGTTCAGGAGCCTGGGGGGCTGCGCTGGTGCCAGAGCACACGCTGTTCCGGGCACTTCCCACCGGGGAATGGGAGACACTGGGCATCCTGCCTGCACTCGGCCTCCAGCCCAGCCTGGCAGGCTGCCCTCTGCCTTGGGGCTGGGGGGCATCTCCCCACCTTCTCTGCCACTCCCGGGCACCCAGACCCTGCCACGCAGCGGGATTGCTGGAAATGGGGAGCAGAGGGCTCATGAATGTGCCTTGCACCCCGACTCACAGCTCCCTGCTAACCTGGCCCTGGGATCCCCCCATCTCAATCCCAACCCACAGCTCCCTGCTAGCCCGGCCCTGGGATCCCCCCCAGCTCTGCCCCTCAGTCCCGACCTGCTGCCTACACAGCAGACCAAGGAAAACTGCTCTCTTGTGCCCCTGGGAGCTGCTCTGCTCGGCGGCCCTGGAGCCCAGGGGGCTCTGCCCTGCGCTGGACTGTGACGAAGCGCCCGTACCCCCCAGCCCGGGAACGTCTCTTACCGCTGCATTGGGCTCAATGAGCCGGAACTGCAAGGCCTGGGCCTCCTGCCAGCGTCCCTCCTGGCACAGACGCTCCAGCTGGCAGAGCGGGGCTCCCAGCACGTTGGCAAGAGCACAGACCCCCCCACAGGCACCTGGAGGGCAGGGAGCAGAGTACCCAGGGCCTGGCCACCATCCTGGAACCCAACCTCGGCCCAGCACCCCATCCCTTCCACACCCAAACCCCATACCCTATCCTCCCCTGCACCCCCACATCCTGCACCCCATCCTCCCCCAGCACCCCCCTGGAACCCCATGTGCTGCACTCTACCCACTGCCCCCATGCTCCCAACACCCCTCTGTATCCCCACATCCTGCACCCTGCCCCTTGTCATCCCCCAGCACCCTACCCCCTCTACACCCCCACATCCTGTACCCTGCCCCCCCTCCCCCAGTACCCCCACATCCTGTACCCCATCCTCCCCCCAACACTCCAACACCCCTCTGTATCCCCACATCCTGCACCCCACATCTTGTACCCTGCACCTTAGCCTCCCTTGGCACCCCC